TGTTGTAATTGTTTAGTACTTAGGACTGTTTTGGATGGAAGAAAAGGGCTGATCTCTGTCCTTCTGTCCTGCAGCTGAGACATCAGAGGTGTTAATTGTGAGAGTTATTTGTTGTAATTGTTTAGTACTTAGGACTGTTTTGGATGGAAGAAAAGGGCTGATCTCTGTCCTTCTGTCCTGCAGCTGAGACATCAGAGGTGTTAATCAAACCCCAGATTATCTGTGTAGGCGAAGAGTTGTTGCTTTTGTTGAGTTTTGGTGTTCTACAATACCTTTTTTACTAACTCTGGGATTATTTGCTCCAGCAGCAAGTACGTTTTCGGCAACAAAGAATAAATTAGCAATTAAAATTCTCACAGGAAGTAGTGGGGCGGAACTTCTGAGGAGTCATTACCCCACTTCCTCCTGCTCCTGAAGGGATCCCTGTGGGGAATTCTCCTGCCCCTGGCAGGGTCTCACACAGCACACCCTGTTCCTGGTGGACAGACTGACCTGCCCAAAGCACCTGGGTGCTGTTGTCACCTGGCTGTGCTGGGAATGGCTTTGCATTCCACTGGGGATGGACTGTGGCATGCTCTGACACTCCAGTCTGGAGCTCTGGAGCTCTGGGGGGGTGTCAGTGGGTGCAAACCAATAACGTGGGAGAGGAGCTGGGGGCAGACCCGTGAGGGGCAGCTCCAGTCTCTGCTCTCTGTGAGCAGGGACAGGACCCAGGGAACAGCTGGAGCTGTGTCAGGGGAGGGTCAGGTTGGGTATCAGGGAAAGGCTCTTGCTCCAGAGGGTGGTTGGGCACTGAACGGGCTCCCCAGGGCAGTGGGCACGGCCCCAAGGCTGCCAGAGCTCCAGGAGTGTTTGGATGATCCTCTGGGGGACAGAGTGGGATTGTTGGGGTGTCTGTGCAGGGCCAGAAGCTGGACTCAGTCCTTGTTGATCCCTTCCAACGTGGGATATTCTATAAATTTAATAGCTACCAGCCCATAAGCTGTTTGGAGCAGAAGTTTTTCAGGATGCAGCGTGGGTAAGACCTTGGGAAGGGGCTGCTGATGGTGCTGAGCTCAGGCATCGAGCACTCACACAACCATCCTGCCACACAGCTGTCCTGCACAGTACCTCATCTGGACCCTTGGGAACTCTGCAGCTAATGGGATCAATAACTCTGGCCCTGCTCTCTGTGTTCAAACCAGTCCATGGAGGAGCCCAAGGCAGGGGGTCCCTGGCTTTGGCATTCCATAGCTGTGTATCTCCATACAGCTGCTGGAGCTGGCCCTGGGCAGCCCAGCTTTTCTGTCCCAGTCCAAGTAGGGTGACTACAAATAATTAATAGTGGGATGGGAAGGTTTCAGTGACCTCCCTCCCTGCACAGCTTGGTGTTCTCTCAGAATGCAGCTGGTGCTTCCAGATTGATCTAAAATAGATTGATTGTGTGTACCAAGCTATCAGATTTAGTTAAACACCCAAACCCAGTCCATGAGCTCAAATGCAGTCGGTCAAGGCAGTTGCTAACACACACCAAGACTTCAGTGTGAGTGTAGCATTAGATCAGCACTTTTTCCTTTGCTGTTGGGAAATAGAGTTATTTCCCTACAGGACTTACTTTCCCCGAAAAGAACAGCACGAGGAGCACAGAGATCTGTGTGTGTTCTGTGCGTGGAGAGGGACAGTTGTGGAGGCCCCCAGGAGACCCAGGTGTGGTGGGGACGGGGTGAGGTTGGGCTGTCCCAGAACACGACCTGTTGCTGAGGGCTGGCGGGTGTTGAGCAAGGCCCTGAGCCCGTGCCAGGAGCCCGAGCTGCCAGAGGGAGCAGGGGGCACTTTTCCAATCCTTGAGGAAAACTTCGTCATCCCGAAGGTGCAAGTAGAAAACAGGCCTGGCTTGAGAGAGGGCAGGGGAGGGGGGCCACGTCCTGGGTGTGCCCCTCTCGAGGGGCCTGGGGAGGGGGGCCGTGGCCCCGTGCACTGCGATAAGGCAGGGGCAGACGCAGCCGGTGTCTGCCCTGACACTGAGGGCTCTGCTTGCTTTGCATGTCACCAGCTCAGTTGTTTTCTGGCTGCTCAAGGAGACGCTTTGATCAGCTCTTAACAGTTGGTCTGTTTTTTGGAAAGACAAGACTTGTGTCACGTCTCAGCCACTGACTTAGGAGCAGAATTTGCCCTGATGGAACAAGGCTTGTAGGTGCTGTGCAGTGTTGAATTTAGTCCCCTGGCTGGTGCAGAAGGGTCGTGACGTGATGTCACCTCACAGAAGTGAATCGGAGTGGAAGGGGCTGTCAGGGAGCTGCCCTGCTCGGCAGGACCTTTCAGTTGCCAGGCTTTCAGTGCCCTGGTGCTCCCAGTGCACCTGCAGCTCTGGCTGGGGTGACTGGGCTCTCACTGCCATTACCTGCTCCTGAAAAGGGCAGGTGAGAGGAAGTTTAATTTTTTTTGTTAGGAGGAATCCCACCCTGTTCCTGAGAACATTGTCCAAACACTCCTGGAGCTCTGGCAGCCTTGGGGCCGTGCCCACTACCCTGGGCAGCCTGTTCAGTGTCCCACCACCCTCTGGGGCAAGAACCTTTCCCTGAGATCCATCCCAAACCCTCCTGACACAACTCCAGCCATTCCCTCGGGTCCTGTCCCTGCTCACGGAGAGCAGAGACTGGAGCTGCCCATCCCAGGAAGCTGCAGACCCCCATGGGAGGCTTTTTTTTTTTTTGAGTTGGTGCTTCGTGCAGAAAGGGCTGAGTGTTGAGGTGGCTGTAACCAACCTTTAATTACAGAGTAAATGGCTTTGGTGGAAGTTTTGTCACACCCAGAAGTTGATAAAGAGGTGCAGAGCTGGCAGCCTGGCAGGGAGCTCCTCTGAGCACTTACCCAGGCACTTGGGCATGCTGTGACATGAAACCCTGCAGATTTGGGTGCTCTTTGCAGAGGATGAGTTGTTTCAGTTTTAAGCAGTTTGGTTTGGGGTTTAGCCATGACTTTCTCATCTGCTTGGCGATATCTCCAAGCTGGATTATCCAATGGTTTCCCAACGAGGGGCTGGATTAGCGCTGCTCTGTTATTTAGGACCTGCCCCACAGGTTTGTCTCTGTCTCAGGCCTGGCTTGGCAGCTGTACTCCTGCTTTCCCTCCAGTAGCAGATGCTGGCAGACAGCAGTGGCTGAGGGTTTGTGGGTGAGGGAGGGAGCAGGGATGGAGGGAGGGTTTGGTTTAACCAGCAGGCTCTGGTGTGGTGCCGGCTTTGTAGGGTGTGCTGGAGGCCTGGGGACCCCCAGAGCTCTCCAGGAGAACCAACTCGGGCCTGAAATAAGATGGAGCATCTGATGTATCCCCTAAACCTGCCTGTGCTTCGTTTGCAGGAAGCTGTTTGTGGGTGGCCTGGACTGGAGCACGACACAAGGTGAGGGATGTGTGGCTGCAGGCCTTGGGCCTTCGTGGGCAGCCCAGTGCAGAGCTTTTAACAGACACTGCTCTGCTGGGAACACTGGGCTGAGACTCTCCTGCTCCTCTCTGCTAATTAATAAACCTCTCTGCAGAGAGAGCTCAGCTGTATGTTAACACTTCTGGGGTTGTGTTTTCTGTCAGTGTTTGGTGCTGGAGTTTTTGTCAACTCAGCCGTTTTTTCGATCACTTTCCTGTGGCACTATTTTCCATTTGTATGAGTGGAAACAAACTGTTATTTAGCCTTGGTTTACAGGAAGTAAAGTGTGATCATTTTCAAAAGATGAGTTGAAGTCGTTTCACTGTTTGCTTATCTGTTGGCTCATAGTTGCAAACACAGTCTGGTGCTGTCAGTATCTGGTTCTGTTTAATATTTGCTTTTTTCCTTTGACAGAAACTCTTCGTAGCTACTTCTCCCAGTATGGAGAAGTTGTAGACTGTGTAATAATGAAAGACAAAACAACAAATCAATCTCGAGGATTTGGATTTGTCAAATTTAAAGATCCCAACTGTGTGGGAACAGTGCTGGCCAGCAGACCTCACACGTTAGATGGCCGAAATGTAAGTTGCTTTTGTGTCGGGGTTTTTCGGGGGGGGGGGTGTGTTTCTGCTTCAGATCCAAAGCTTTGCTTTAAATTCTGGCTCCTCATTTGCAGACTGGAGAGTGTCCAGGTCACCTGGTTGTTGGTTTAAGTTGATTTGTTGGAAGGCAGCTCTAACTCAGTGGTTTGTGTGACGATGGCTTTGTGCTGAGGAGCTGGGTGTCAGCAGTGCTGGGTGTCAGCAGTGCTGGCTTCAGCTGCCACAAACAGTAACTTTTAGAGCAAAATTCTGCATGCTGAGGTCTGACCAAACTGGAACTTCTTCCAGATTGATCCAAAGCCATGTACACCTCGGGGGATGCAGCCAGAACGGACACGACCGAAGGAAGGATGGGTAAGGAAAGATCCTTGTGTATCCTGCCTGTTGTCCAAGTTCTGGCTTAGCTTCTAGCAATTGAATTGAATTCCCTTGGATTATATCCGTGCTCTAAAGGCAGAAGTCAGTGTGCAGGCCTTGAGTGTAAATTTATTTGTGAAAAATGTCTTTCACTTGGATGTCCGTGGGCAGGCTCGAGGTGCAGTGCAGTGTTCAGGAGCACTTGTGTCAGGCTGGGCGTGGTGTTTCTTAAGCTCTTAGTGCTGCTTTTAGTGAGTTCTTCACTTGGGAGCAGTGGCTGGAAGGACCCTGGCAGGGCTGATGCTGTTCCAGCCCACTCCACACCCTGCAGCTTCCTCAGATGTCAGTGTAGAGTGAGTGAATGGCCTCAGAACACAGGCCCTGGATTTCTGGTCCTCGGAAGAACAGGGAACACTGAACCTCTGAGCTCGGAACGTGCTTTGCCTCCAGGACTGGGAGACTTCAAGGCTGGAGCTCTCCCCTCAGCCTGCCAGAGCCCAGTGCTGGTGGTTCAGTGTGAAATGGCAGAGGCAGCCGACTCGATCGTCCTTCTGACTGAATCTTCTCCTCCTTGGTTTAGCAGAAAGGATCCAGGAGCGATAACAATAAATCCAATAAGATTTTTGTTGGTGGGATTCCTCATAACTGTGGCGAGACAGAGCTCAGGGAATACTTCAAGAAGTTCGGAGTGGTGAGTCACCGGGGGGAGGGGGCTCCCCCCCTGCTGCCTCCTCTCAGGGTTCCTCAGGCTGGCAGATTTGGGGGCAATTTGGGCAAACTGCTGCAGGGGCACGGGGAGTGTTTTGTGATAAGCTGTGGTGAATGTTGGTGGTCTGGAAATGGCTCTTGACAGAACCCACTGCTGGGGTGGAATTTACTGTGCTGCTTCTGTCTCCTTGCTTCAGCCTGCCTGGTACAATGTTCTGTCCCCTCCTCCCAAAACTCCCAGGTTGAGGGGGCTTAAGAATGATTACTTTTTGTCTCTTTCCCATCAGTACCTTACAGCTGGGCAGTTAAAAGTGCCTGTTGATGTATTTTTCTGGGAACAGCGAGTACCTCAGTGGGCTGAATTATAAGCTCCTGGTCTTTGTGCACATACAGGTTAAATTTGAGTCTCCTGCCATTGTTTTGGGAGCAGTAGCTGCTTTAAATCTCCACCTGGAATCAGCTGAGTTCTGGTGTCCCTGGAACCTCCATCTGAGACAAACTGCTGCTCATGTTATACAGCTTTTAATTCAGTCTGTAACCTCAGACTGAAATTACTATTTCTTCTGATTTGTGGGGTTTTTTTCTCTATTTAGTTTCAATTCCCATTTATCCCAGGTCTCACTGCCCCTTTAGGATGATAAACCATTGAATTAAATAATTCAGCTGTGAATAAGTTTGAGGAAGTTAAAGATTGCCTGAGGTAAATTCAGGACTGTGCCAGTGGACATGAACTTGTCACCTTTGAGTGGCATTTAGTGTGTTTTTTTTATGCTTAAATCACTTTTCTCTAGGATTTCTTAGTGGCAGCAAAGGATTTGTAGAGAAACAAGTTTGTCAAGAGTTAGTCATTTATCAGCCATATTTAAAGTCCCATGGAGATAATTTATTTAAAACACAGCAAGCAATGGCTAACAACTGTTTCTTTAGCTTGAAAGGCTGCAGTAGGCCCGTGATAAAAACAGGGGGCACGTTCCACAGCTGTGGGATGTAGTTTCTAAAGGCTCTTCCTCACAGACTTGGCTTTCCAGCTGTGCCCTGGCTGCTGGGGAGGGAGAGGGTGTGTCCTGCAAGGGTGGAAGGCAACAGCCACAGCTGTAAGTGCCTTTGAGAGTAGGGGGTAGCACTTTGCTCCCAGGATAGATATCAGAAAGTCCTCCTGCAGTTGTAACGAGTTCCTTTGCAGCAGTGGAGCCTCACAAATGTTTTGTGGCCGCAGACACTGATTTTAGCCGTGGTGATTGCCGGGTAATTAAGGCCATGGTGACCCAAATGGATCAGAGAGGGGAAAATCTGGCACTGTCTCGTGGCATAAACCCCCCCTGGGGCCCAGTCCCAGCTGGTGGCACCAGTGGGGTACAGTCAAGGGAGTGTATATGGTCCAGGCACTCAAAGATTTTCTGGCTGTAAATAAAAGGCAAAATTGTGTCAGAATTTTCAGCTAACTCAGGGGATTCTGGTAAAAATACCCTAAGATTGTCTGGAAGATGTGATTCCATAAGATCACATCCCTTTTGTGACCACTTTTCGGCACCTGAGAAACTCCAGAGCAGTTCCTTCCAGCTGTTTTAATGTTGCCTTTGACATAAATGTTCCACCTCTGGCTTTGTTTAAATTGTAGCTCACAGTGGTGTTTATTCTGAGAAAAACAGTCTTGAAGCCCTTGAAAGGCAATTTCCATTTTTTTTCTTTTTTTTTAAGCTCAACCCAGACTGTTACTGCTCATCCAGAGCTTAGAGGGGGTTTGTAAAGCTGTTTAAAACATCACTTTGACTGGTGCTCTGGGCCACAGTGGCTCCTTCAGAGCACTAAATGTGTCTGGAGCTCAAGCTGATCTTCATGGTGAGAGTGAAAGTGGCTAAAAATGGGAAAAGTCATCTTCTAAGGAGCTGCACTGATGAGCCCTTCTAAAACAAACCTTTGGGGTGTTTTATAGGCTGTGCTGAGGGTACAAAGAGTGTAATGGCCTTAATGGTGGATTAAAATGTGAAGTGTGATGAGACAGTACAGCAGCTTTTTGGATGGATGGATGGATGAGCTGAGGCTTTCTAAACTCCCAGGCAGAGCAATATTCCCGGTTTTTGTGCTGTGCCTGGGGTTGGTGGCTGCAGCTGAGTTGTGCTGTGTGGGTAGAGGGCAGGACCCAGCCTGTGGTGACTGTTCCAACCCTCCCCTGGTAGCACAGTGAGGAGAATTTCCCTTCTCTCTTCCAGGTCACTGAAGTTGTAATGATCTATGACGCAGAGAAACAGAGGCCCCGAGGTAAAGGCTGATCTAGTTTGTCCTTGAAATTTCTTCATACTCTCCTATAGTCAGATGGCAAACTATTTCACACCATCAGAAAAGGTAGATTTTTTTTTTCTCTCTTATGTTGCCTCAGGAAAAAGAATAATTCACTGGGCAAACCTCACTTCAAGTCTAGACTCTTCATCTGCGGCTTCACTGGGGTCTGTGCATTTCAACTCCAACGTTTCATGCTCATTTATGGGGGTTGTTTTTTGAGATGAAATGAAATTTGATTCTCAAGCCACTTCTGTGGCTGAAGGGACTTTTGGAGGGGAAAAAAATGAGCAGATTTTCCTCCTATTGCACATGAAAGGTATGTTGGGTCTGTAAGTGCACGGGCAGTGCTCCAGCCAGAGCACGAGACAGGGCAGAATCCATCCCTCATCTGCTTTTTGGTTTGGTTAAACGGCTTCACCTCAAATTAAAGCCAAACACTCCTTAAACCGCACAGAATAATTCTGAAATGTGGATATATTTTTTTTTTTCTGATTGGGACGTACAATCCCTGTATGCCAGGCTGCTTTTTAAGAGGGGCAAAAGCTGAGACCATGGAAGATTCACTAGATATTGAATCAGGTTGGGAACCTTTGGTCAAAATGCGAAGCAAGTTCCATGTCACCCACGTCCCATTGCATCCACCATCAGTTTGCCAAGGAAGAGCCAATCCTTTAGCTTTGCTCCCACCCTGTAGCATGTTGGACATGCTAGAGAATAGTTTGCCATCTGAACTTTTCATTTCTCTTCTGCCTCATTATTAAGAAATATATCCTTCACTTCATATTTATTAAGCTGTTAAGTCTTAGTTTTATTTTTTAATTTAGACATACATCCTTAGTGACATATTTAAGTGTTTCATAGTAAAGTATGGTAACGTTAAGTAAGTTCTTTTTTTGTTTCTTTTCTCTCTGTGAATTGTTTGACTGTGATTAACGATATCTCTTTAGATTTCTTCTCTCTAGGTGATAATTTATCACAGAGGTACAGGCCAGTTCCGCAGTCAGAGGAGGGACGGGCTTTGTCTTTTATTGGAGTGTAAACGAAGTTTCAATATATTTGTTTTTTTGTTTTCTTGCTTTAGCTATCCTAATCTTCTTTCAGCAGATACCTTTGAATTAAGCAGCACATAAATCCATCTGTTTCAGTGCTCTAGAGCAGCTGGTTTTGGATAGAGGAGACAAAGACACGGGCATCCCAGTGTGATTTGGGGCTGGAGTTCTGAAACATTTCAGTGATTATTGTGTCATCTCTACCTTTGTAATATTTAATCCCAGCCTTGCAGCCTCTGAGCAAAAGGTACTAAAACCTCATGCCTGGTCTGGATTAATCCTGTCTCAATTAATGGCTTCTCTGCTTAAAGCTCTACTAAAAAAAAACAGGGAAAGGAGAGCTTAGGGTAAAGCACAAGTGCCAGGTGGGTGGTGAAGGTGGGAGAACAGGTCTGTCTCCATCCACATGTTCTGCAGAAAACTTTCCCCCTTAATTCATCTGACTTCTTAAACACTCCTTGAATCCTCTTGCCCTGCCTTTCACTTTTGTGCTGTTGCATTCTTTTTTTAGTGTGGTAACTAACAGTCATCTCCCCAAATGGCCTTGTCAGTCCCTGGAGGGGGGCTGAGGAAAAATCCCCTCTAGTATTGGGATTTCCTGGCAGTGCCTCCCAGAACAGGATTTCTCTTGCCTTGCCTTTCTCATCTGTGTTCTCTTGCTGCTCTGTCCCCTTGTCCTTTTAACACGATGCCCAAATGATTTATGAAACTCCAAAGGCCAATTCAGTGCCATCTCTCCTTGTACCCTTCTCAGTTTGGTCTTCTCCCATTAACTTTGCCACCCTTCCTTTGGAAGTGCACGTCATTTTACTGGTTTTCTGGTAGGAGGGGGCAGAATGATCCCTGTTCTTATCCCTGTAGCATCCCTCTGCCTTCAGCCCCTCAGGAGAGCCCTGGGAACCAGATTCTGCCCTGGAGGAGCTGATGGTGTCAAACATCCACGTCATCTCTGCTGCCTCTCAGTGCTGCCTGTTCCTGCCAGCTCTGCTGCCAGCTCTGCTCCAAGCCCTTCCCAGAGCCCCGAGCCCAGGCAGCCGTGTCTCATCCCTGACAACAGAGCGGCTTTGCTGCCCTCTCTGCTGCTCCTGCTTTCTGTTCCTGGCCAAAGAGCAGCTGGAAGGGACTGACAGGGCCTCGTGTGCTCCTTCTCCTCCTCCCTTGGCTGCAGACGAGCCCCAGCGCTCTGGGCTGGTCCTCCCGGAGTCCTGCTCAGAGCAGTTTGTTTCTCCAGCCTTTAACAGTGTCCTGTCCTTCACAAACTAAAGCTGTGGATGGTGGGTTTCATCACTTCTCCATTTAAAACTTCACCTTGGAATTTTACTGTTTTACTCTGAATTCTTCACTGTTCCTGATCTTGTGGTGTTTGACCCTTTTAAATCCCCTCTTTTGGTTTCTTTACTGGCTTCCTCAATCACCTCTTACTCTCCCTCTTCCTCCCCCTCCAGCCCCATCTCACAATCTATTCCTGTCCTTCAGTCTTGGAATCAAGTTAAGCCACAGCCTTCAGACATAGATGGAATCCATCGTTTCTCTTTCCCATCTCTTTTTAGATAAAGGCTGGAACACTAAACACGTGATTTAAACACAAATACTTTTCCTCTGGCTCCAATACTCGGATTTCTGGTTAACTCAGACAAATATATTGTGATGAAATGCTGCTCTCAGCTTGGAGGCTGCTTTCATCACAGCTCCACTAAACTTCGTTTATACTGCCAGTCTCTTGTGTGTGGGAAATGCCAAGTTTTTTCCTTTTTATTTTCAGTTTATTTTAGTGATGTCTTTTGCTCTTGTTGCTGACAGCAGAATTTGACCTGCTGGAATCTATTTTGGCCTGTATCTTTGTGTATTTTTATATATATATATATAAACTTTCTCTACACTAGGCCTCTTTGGGCTTACCCAACGCAGTTGGATAAGCGTGGAGAGACATTCCTGTGCTAGACCCTGTATTCTGTAACGCTTTAGAGCAAGATTTGGCTGCTGTCAGCACTAGCTGCAAAGCAAAACGCAAACCAAGGGGGAGATCTTGGGTTTCAGAAAAGCAGAACCGCATCCATGTTCCATTCGCTTCCGACGCCGCTTCCGACGCCGCGCCTCGGGTTTCCTTTCTAATTTACTGCTCTCCCGTAGCTAATCCAAAGAATGGCACAATTCCTGTTCTGCATGTGTGTCCCTCCCTGCCCCGGGGCCGGGCTGTCCCCCCGCAGCCGTGGGTGATGGCATGGCCGTGGCCTGGGGGATTAACCACGATTTTGCCACTCCCTCGGCTGCACCAGCAGCTACAACCTACGTGCAGTGGTTCTCAGAGGGACCCCGAGGAGGGGCCAGTCCTGGGGCTCTGCCTCCTTTCCAGAGCCTCCTCCAGGCTTCCAAAGCTGCTGGATCCAGCTGAGCTGCCACCAGCGAGGGCTGCGGTCAGGGGAAGGGAATGAGCCACCCGTGGGGAGCTGCAGCACTTGGGGGGGCAAAAAGGGCTGGAAAGCGTTGTGTAGATTTCCAAGAGAAAAACAGCAGGAAATGCAAGAAATAAAATAGATTAAAGACGTGGCAGCGATGCCACATCCTGTATAAGCAACACCCTACAGGGGTTGCTGTGTTGGGAAGGAGTAACACCTGTTCTGTGCTTTTTCTGAGGTGTGGAGAACTTGAGAACCTCTGATGTAGGTTGTTAGTTTCTGAAGCTTCTCATTCATCCATGGAGTGGTAAAATTTTCCATGCTTTAACAGCTACATTTCAAAACCAACTTTCTTATTTTCCACGGAAAAATAACTGGAAGCTGGGCTAAGGGATGGGAGGAAGTTGCTTTGCAGCTTTGGGGAACAGGGGTAAGATAGGTTTTCCTTGGGAAACTAGGCTGAGCAAGGAGGAGCAGCAAAGTTGCTTGACTTTAACCTGCTGTCCCACAAGTATTTTGGTTTTAGCACTTTTTTTCCATTTCCTGGTAGGTGGATGAGGAATAAAATCAAATTAAAAGCCAGTTAACGAGCTCAGTTTGAAGTTGCATGTGTGAACCCACGGCAAGGCACTAATTGCCTCACGACAGGAAGTATCCATTGCAATTTTGGCAGAGTTTTTGGCAATTGAACACAAGTGTCGTTATCTGAAACCCCTGCTTGAACCCTTGGTCTGCCCCTAATACTGTTCATCATCCTGTTTTGTGTCACAACACCCTGCTACCTTGATTCACTCTTCGTCGTTGGCTAGGTTTTGGATTTATTACTTTCGAGGACGAACAATCAGTGGACCAGGCTGTCAACATGCATTTTCACGACATCATGGGCAAAAAAGTGTGTAGTTGTAGTTTTATTTTACCTTAAGAAAGAACCAAGTCTTGGGCAACGAGCGATTTCACTGGGGAGTGAAACTCAGTCCTTGGCCCGGGTGGGAGAGCACGGGAGTCCAAATTCAAGGCTTTATCCATGAAGGTGGGGAAAGTCTGAGTTTGCAGGAACGGGTGGGAAGGGCAGCTGGGGGGTCAGCTGAGGAAGGGAGGGCTTGGATTCAGCCTGAGGGCTCGGGCTGTGGGCTCTGCTGGTCGGGGTGAGGCCTTGTGTGTACAGACCTGGGGTTCTCTGGCAGAGCAGAGCGCTGGGATGAGCTGTGCTCACAGCCCTGCTGTGGGGCAAGGAGAGAAATCTCTGCTCTCCAGCTTCTGAAAAGCAGAATCCCAGTGAAATCCGAGTTGTTCAAGGCTTGGTTTAAGATACCACTCCTTCAGATGTAACTCGATGCTGAAATTTTGAGGTGGTGTGAGACAATCTGCTTTATATAATCTTAAACTTAAAAAGGAAAAGGGAAAAAAAAACATCCTGAAGGATTGGTTTTTTAAAAAATTGGGTCACTTACTGTGAAACTTTGATACCAACCCACGTACTCTATATAGTATTTAACCACAATGCAGTTAAGTGACCTCTGGTTGTTTCATCTTCATACTGTGTTGTCAGCAAACGGGCGTTGCATAGGGAGGAATTTTTTAGGCTCCTTTGATGTTACTCAGCAAGGAACATGCTTCTACCTGTGGGAAAAAAAACCCTAAAAGCAAAGTAAATTGTTGCAGGACACCCAGGTTTTATAGAGAGAAAAGAGTAACTTAAAGAAAAACGAACCACGGGAAATTCTGGTAAATTGAAGTCCTTGCAGCTTTAAGGTAGATCCAGTTTTTAAAGTAAAAGTTAAAACTGCTAAACTTAGAGTGAGGAGATTCAAGAAGATTTTTACATTCCTTAAATTATTGCATTGTATGATTATTTTTTTTTTTATTGTCTTTAAAGTCTTTTATGTGCTATTTGATAAGCATTTCCTTACCTAGCGGGGGAAATATTCTGCATATCAGTGGAGTTCTGGTTAATTATGCAGTAAATAATGCCTTTAATTCCTATGAACTCATTTGGGGGTGAGAGGTGGGTGATTTCCTGACAGTGGAAACAAAGGAATGTGCTGGTGGGATCCAGAACATCAGGGCATGTTCTCGGCTCCTGGTGTTTTCCACAGCAGATCCCACTGGTGTGTGTCTGAATTACCTGGATCCCCTGGTCTGTCCTTGGAATTGCCTTCAGTGAGCAAAGCAGCAGATACAGTGGGAACAAAGGGAACACACCCCTGAGGTTCTGGGAGAGGCTGGAGAGCCCAGAGTGAGCCCCCAGCTGTCCCCTCGTGCTGCTGGCTTTGGGACGTGCTCTCGGTGCTTCCCAGACCAACCCGATTCCAAAGGGAAATAAGCTGGTTTTCCCCTTTCCCCCCCTTCCAACGTCACACAAAGCAGAATTCAGGGATTTTCAGCTCGGAGCAGTGGAGCTGCCTCAGTTCTTGGGGTAACCTGGGCTTTAGGCAGGTGTGGAATTTGAACCTCCCTGTTCACAGGGAATTTTCAGCCCTCACTTTGGCAGTTCCCCGCTTCCAAATGTGCACTGAAAAATTAATGGGATTCTTCCACGAGGATTAATGAGCTCCAGATCCCCTGCTCTCCTCCACTGCCTAATCATGCCTGCTTTAAAAATGGTATCTCTGTCTTTTTGGTAATTAAAAAGGTATTGCTGAAATGAATCCATATGTTGTTGAAAGGGGAGGGGGGTGGAAATTAAAATTGCAAGAAGGCCTCTGCTTTTGTAAGCAATAACCGAATTCCCTCAAGGCAAATGTGTTAAGACTCATTAATTTGAGTCCTTTGAAAAATTCCCCTGGTTCCTCTCTGGCAGGGCCTTGAGCTGACAGAGATTTGGTTACTGTCATGTCTCCTGTCCTTGGGGCACCGGCGGGGGGGCGCGGGGGGCTTTGTCCTTGCCTTGTGCCTGTTTCCTGTTTGTTCTCCCACATGAATGGCTTTTAAGACATGGCAGGAAGAATTCTGAATACTTTTATTTTCCATACTACTCAGGCCCATTGATGATTGAGATTTATTTTTCTTTGTACTCTGGCACCCATTAAAATTAATCATGAAATGAAAAAAAAAAAAAAAAAAAAAGCCTGGAATTCAGCGAGTGCTGAGAGGGTTTCATTAAATCAGGGCTGGATTTTTTTTTTTTTGAGAGGTTTATGTTGAATGTGCAGCTTATTTTAAGTAGGTCAAATGCACTTATTCTGTGGCTGGGAACACTAGGATGTTTTATCTTGGAATAAAATAAGTTAAGCACTGTGGCTTACTAATTTTTAAAACAGGAGGGGTTTTGTCACTGACTTAACACAGTATGAAGATTTGCTTCTTATTGACTCAACTGTCCATTTTTATTACTTGCATGTTTGTTTACTTTTTTGTTAGATGTAATGTAAGATTCTCTTATCACATCCATTCCCTCTGACATTGTTTGAGTTAATTGAGATTCTTTAAGCGTTAGCCTGGGGAAGGTAAGTCTTTATCTTCCATTAGACATTTAAATAAAATCTTAAGTTTAAAAAAAAAAAAAGAAAACAACATTTAAAAAATAAATCAATCAAAAATGTGTGTTTCTCAGGTATGAGCTGAAATTGCCATTAGCTGGGGTGGGTTAAACTGTCACTTCCAAATGAACCCCAAATGTGTTTGGTTAAAGCATTAGTACCCTTTTTCAGAGCGGCCTCTTCACTCAAAATTCTGGTTTTTTAACTGAAAACGTTGTCTCTGTGACTCCTGCCTTGACCATTAAATCAGCCTGTCCTGAACCACGAGATCCTGCTGTTGTCAGTGCAGAGCTGCTGTAAGAGGGTACTGCTGTTTTAAGATTAAAGCCAATGACACTCGAGTGATTTGTAGGATGTTTTTCTCGGAATCCCTCAACAGTAGGACTTGTAATGTCTTACCATCACCTACACTGTACCTGAGAAACATTGTAAATTACCGGCCTTAAGTTTAGTAATTAAGTACTTAGACATAAGTCATAAGATGCTAAGTGTAGTCGTAAGTGTACCTGCGGGTGTGTGTGAGGGGTCGGGGGGCTCCGGGCCCCCCCGGCCCCCCTGACCCCGGCCCTGTTTGTTTAGGTGGAGGTGAAACGTGCCGAGCCTCGGGACAGCAAGAGCCAGACTCCGGGGCCGCCGGGGGCCAGCCAGTGGGGGAGCAGGATCATGCCAAGTGCTGCCAACGGCTGGGCAGGGCAGCCCCCTCCGACCTGGCAGCAGGGATACGGCCCCCAAGGTACCGCCCGCCCGCCACGGGCACTGCTTCCCAAAAACCTGCTCCACGGGGCAGCGGGGGCTGGCACGTGTCCCAGGGGTCCTCCAGCTGTTCCCTTTGGATCTGCCTCCCCCTGCCCTGGGGTGACTCGGAGAAGGTGTTGAGGAGGCTCCAGGTGCGGGAGCGAGGCCTGCGTGAGACCCCGGTGACAAACTGGGTGGAAATACGGCTTTTTCAGGGATGAGGCAGCTTCAGAGGGAGTTATAAGGAAGGTTTGAAAGGGATGAGGGGAAAACAGATGGTCTTGTCTTTGGATTTAATTGCTTAATGTAGCCTGGAAAAGCACCAGGCGGCTCTGGGGCTGGTGGTGCAGGAGCTCTTGCTGCAGCTCGGGAACCCCCCGGGCCGAGGAGCGTGGCCGGGTTTGATGGCTGCTCCCCCCCCGGGGTTCTGAAGGCAGGATAAACACGCTGAGCTCACCCAGAGACAATTTTGATAACTCTGGAGAAGTGCAGCGGGATAATTGAGTTGCTGTGAGAGATGGGAAATGTTCACCTGGGGGCTGGAGGGAGCGTGGCTGCTCCATCCCCGCTCCGATGGGGAGGGCAGCGCAGGGAGGGCTCCTTTCCCCATGGTGCTGATTAGCTGGGAAGCTGCAGCTGAGGGCTGGCACTGGGCACAGATGTGCTAATCTGCAAGCGGAGAAACTCCATCGTTTCCAGGCGGTGATTAGTCGGGGAGATGCTACCTGATCTCCCGGAAAACACATCTATCCTTCAGTCTCAGAGCTGCAGCGGGGGGGAAGGCTTTTTTATGGCTCAGAAACTTCAAAAACAACTCAGATAAACCTGGTGGTAAATTAAAAATCCTTTGGATGTTTGGTCTGCTGGGATTCTCCAGGATTTTGGTCTTTACAGTGCCATGGATTGGTGCACTTGGTACGTGGCAGCCCTCGAATGCTCCATCTGATTTGGGTTTGGGGACTGCTGCCTCTTCTGAGTGTTGTCTGAATGGTTCAGAGTCTTTCCAGGATGGTGTATTCAGAAATAGGCCCAGACTATTTCTTGGACCCTAAAAATAGATGTGTGAGGGGCACTGGGAGGATACCCAGTCTACCCCAGAGCCAGATCCCTGCTCTTGCATCATCCCTGCTCCAGAGTGGGCAGCTCCAGCCATGTCTAAGGCTCCTTTTTTGTTCTGTTGTAGGGATGTGGGTGCCAGCTGGACAGGCAATTGGTAAGTACATTACATGGGACCAATCCTGACAGAAAAAATCCTCCTGAGTGCGGGCACAGCTTCTTTGAGCATTCACAGTGATCTGGGGGTTTCTGTGGGATTTAACCTACATTTAAAAGCTTGATTGAATTTGTCCTGGAAGAACGAAGGGGAAGACAGTGGATTCTTAACAGCTCAGTAATGGGAGCTGACACACATCCTGCTGCTCCAGCCACATTAATTTGTTATCAAGGGATTACATGCTAAACTGCAATTATTTACAGTGGGGATACTTGGAGGACAAATATTTCCCAAAGAAAGGATTCATAGAAGGCTGAGCCTGCGTTTGAAATCCATCCAACAGCCTTACCCCATCTAGAGGAAGCTGACTCCAGCAGCAGCTCCTCAGTATTGATCTGCTTCATTTTTTGGGTTTCTCTTGGTTTTGCAGGTGGATATGGACCCCCTCCTCCGGGCAGAGGAGCTCCTCCCCCTCCTCCTCCATTTACCTCATACATAGTCTCCACACCTCCCGGGGGATTCCCGCCTCCACAAGGATTTCCACAGGGCTATGGCACCCCTCCACCATTTAGTAAGTGACCCTCAGGAGCTGGAGCATGTCCAGCACCAAATTCAGCTTTTGCTCATCTTCCCCTGGACTTGGATTTTCCCCCTGTGTCTCACCTATCCTTAACTGTTTTCTATTCTGATCTGTAATTAACTATATCTTTATTTTTGCTGGTGAGTTGAATTATTTTTTTCTTGGATGCAGTAATGATTTATATTCTCTGGTTTAAGTCTGTGTTGCTGAACAAATTTAGATGTATTTTGTACCCTTGTTACAGCACCTGAGAGAAAACTTAGAGCTCACTGCTCATGGCCAGACAGAGATTTTTGGAGGAGCTTAAGGAATTAAGGTCACAACTGGCATTGGAAATACAAATAGGATTTTAGCATCTACCCTCTTCAGGCCATCTTTTCAAAAGTCTGGTCACAGACCTGGTTTAAAGAAGGTGGAAAGTAGCCCCCAGTTATCTGGAGTAGCAGATAGCACCACGTTATCCTCCCAAGATCCTGGATAACACAGCTTCCTCCTCATTCCTCATGTGGTGTGAGCACAGAGCTGGGTCCCCAGCTCTGCCTTCTCCCTCCCTCTGTGCTGGTTGCTGCAGTCTCTACCTTGGGGGGGACATTTTTCATACCTGTGGCAGGTAAGTTGTGGGGGTCTCTGAGCCATGGTGGTTACCTGTGTAGAGGTGAATCACTGTACACCCAGTTTGGTTTTAATAGACTTAGGAATGTTTTTTTTTAATTATATCATGCTCTAAAGCCAAGCAGGACGTCGGGGTGGTGTTCACCTGAGTGTTTTCACATGTGTTTTGTACTTGCTCGTGTTCCAGGTTTTGGTTATGGTGCTCCACCTCCTCCACCTGACCAGTTTGCCCCCCCTGGGGTCCCTCCTCCACCTGCCACTCCAGGGGCAGCACCACTCGCTTTTCCTCCACCACCACCACCATCTCAGGCAACTCAGGACATGAGCAAACCCCCGACTGCTCAGCCAGAATTCCCTTACAGTCAGTTTGGTGAGTAACTGCTCGAGCTCCCTTCCCTTTGCCTTGGGTAGGGAGGCAGTGCTGGGCACACTTTGCCAACACTGAGGGCACTGCTCTGGGATGGGAACGCTCCCACCAGCTCAAGCCATCCTTAAATCATGCAATATTCAAGCCAGAGGGCTTTTTCTTAGTCAACTCTAAAATGTTGCTTGTGTGCTGTGAAATAATCTTCAGAGGCTTGTGCACTGCCAGGATGAATTCCTGGTTTCCACTCCCCCCAAATCTGTGGGTAAAACTTTTTGCTCCAAGAGCTTCACAGAGCTCACAGTGAACTTTTTTTGTGTAACAGACCTTGAGATTGGAGAGCAGACTTCAAGAGTGAGAGCAGCATCGAGAGGCAGGCAGTGCAGGTGTAAGGATCCAAGCTGGTGTCTTTTCCTCCCTTTTCCCATTCCTTCCCCAGCTCTCTGGAGGTGTAGCTCTGTAAAGCTTTCTTGTGCTCTGTAGATGACTTTCAGGTAGGTGATAGAAGACACTGAGGTAACAAGTTTTAAGCCAGGCAGACAGTACTACAAAAGATAAAATCTTGTAAAAATTGCTAGACAAGTGCTTGTGCTCCTGAGTAAAAACTTCTGTTGCTGTTCCCTGTGGAAGCTCAGAGGGAATTCTCATTCTCCTCTTGCTCTTCTCAGCCCTGTGCTCGAGCAGTGCTCTCCAAAGAGCTCTGCAGAGAACTCTCCAAAGAGCTCTGTACTGCTTTTTTTTTTTCCTTTAAGGAATTGTAATTGGTCACTTTTACTTCTGAAGGGAATTTTTGGAAGCAGCAGCCCCGTGGATTCAGGCTGTTCCCTGCCTGAACACGTTCTCCATGTGGTAGTGCTGCCTCGTGTGAAGTGCCTGCAGAAACTGCACTGAGATAAACACTTCACAAAATCTATTTAAATAGATGCTATTCAAAGTCCCAGCAGGGGAAAGCAGACACTGAAGGAAGATGAGCCTTTCACATGTGTTTGTAAAGCAGAATTTGTTCTCATGCTGAGGAATTGGAAACGTTTTTTCATTTGTTTGTTACAAACACGGTTGATTTTCATGGGTAGTTTTGCCCTCGTGACTCAAGGAAGTTTTTCTTGTCCTGCCAGAACTTGGCTCTCTGCAGACTCTTTTAGGGGGGTGAGAGGCAACAATGAGGCTCAGATGTGGGGTTTCTGTGTAAGGGCAGTACAGCTCCTCATGTTTGTGAGCTGGCTGGGTGAAAACCCCCAGCTGAACTGGGCCTGACACTGTTCCCTGGCCAGGCTTTATCCTGGTGATGGATCCAGGCTCGGGCTCCTGACAGACAGTCCAAGCACAGAGCTGGCAGGGGGACTGGAGCAGGGATCAGCAGCCAGGGGAGGAAGGCAACGTGTCCTGAGTGACTGTGCAGGTGTGGGGGGGGGTTTCCTTTGTGATAAACAAGGTGAGCCCGGGGGGAGCTGTGGTTTGCACCACAGAGCTCTGCACTTGAGTGACAGTAACTCAGGGTTTGGTTTTTTCCGCTCCCAGCGAACAATTCAGCTGTAGTTCTGGGTCCCTGCTTGTCTGTGTCCAAACAAGTGCCAGGGGGAGCATGTGGGGCTCCCAGAGACTGTCAGAGCTGTGTTTTAGGCTTCATTAGTGGCAGCAAGTCCTGAGGGACAGGCAGAGCTTGAAACTGAGCTACTGAAGATGTGCTAAGAGACTTTGTTTGGGATTAAGAGAGTTAAACCTGCTCTAAGCCTGCTCAGAGAGAGGCAGCACTGCAGAAATGCACTTGGTAATTAGGAGCCTTAATACCATCCTTCAGAGCAGGGGCTGGCACTGATGCCAGGATTAAGAGTTGTATTTAATTGCAGGAATTTGTATTAAATTTCTCAATTTCTCAGTGTTCCTAATTTACATTTAGTTGTGTTTCTTATTGGCAGCAGGAATTCTGCCCAGTCCTCCATCTGCACCCTGGTTTTTTTCCCTGTCCCCAGGTTCTGCTCACTCTGTGGTGTGGGTTATGTCACAGAGAGGTGGTGACAATGTCCCCGAGTTGGGCACAGTGTGGCAGGAGAGAAGTGCTGGGGGAACACAAGATGAATATTGACTTGGGGGTGCTTTGGCTGAAAGTGTAGTCAGGACACGGCAGGTTTGTGGGTGTCCAGGGGGTGAAGCAGAGTGTGGTAACTGCGTGGTCAGTCTGAGGCACTCTGAGATTCCAGGGAACTCTTCCTGGCCACACCTCTGCCTGTGCTGGGCCTGGCAGCTTTTAGCCAGGAAAGAACCCAGCCCAAAATGAAGGTGCCCAGAAGGAGTGACAGCCCCCCTGGGAGCCCCCTGGGTGTGACTGGAACTGCCAGCCTGGCTGGGATCACCCCAAAATGCAGCCCCCCCGTTCCTGCACACCTGTCCCCTTCTCCTTTGTGCCTGTTCCCCCCGTGTGGAAGGTGAATCCCTGTGGGAGCCCGGGGCAGCTGCTTCTCCAAGGGGTTGGCCCGGGGGGTGTCCCAGGGGCCCGGCACCGCGGGAGGGAGTGGAGTTTGCTGCTCCTGGAAGCTGATCCTGTGCCTTTCCCTTCTCCCAGGGTATGGACAAGACTTGAGCGGGTTTGGACAAGGTTTCTCTGATCCCAGCCAGCAGCCCCCTCCCTACGGAGGCCCCTCGGTGCAGCCCTCCAGCGGCCCCCCAGCTGGAGGCAGCGGCTTCGGCCGGGGCCAGAACCACAACGTGCAAGGATTCCATCCCTACCGGCGCTAGCCTGGGCTGCCAATCAGGGAGTGCTGTCCACAGGGATCTCTGGGACCAGCTGAACCCCGGGATCCCAGACTTCTGAACTTGTGACAATCACATACTTGATGGAAGAAAAACCTAACAACAATTTTTTTTGGGGGGTGGGGGCAGATGGCTTCTGAAGGCAGAGCTGTGGGTGTTTGGACTGCAGTTTTTAAAGATTTTTTTCCTTTCTCTAACCCATCAGCACAAATAAAGAAAATGTCACTGGTTCAAACTACAGGGTTTTAAAAATGTCTTCAGCTTTAATTCAAAACTTCAGGTTTCTTTTTTTTGAAATTATTTTTCCTGAGCCTTTGTTTTACCGTATATTGTAAACTTTTATGTTTAAAAGAAAAAAAAAATATATACATTTACAGATTGTGAAATTTTTAAGAGAAATTTTCTACTATGTATGCTGGCTTATTTTTTAATTTAAAACAGGGTTTCCGTGAGCGCTGTCGGGGGGGGGGGAGGGCTGCAGCCCCTCCCTCCCTGCCCAGGGCAGCGCTGGGGCGGAGGGATCCGAAACTCTGGGAGTTGACAGAAATCTACTGAGTGTATTTTGCTGTTGTTGTGGGGGGGCAGAGCTGGGCCAGGGCAGGGGCAGGACCCGCGGGCACGGAGGCCCTGGTGGGTCTGGGCCTCCCTCGGGGTGCTCGGCGGGGTGTAGATTTCCCTCAGGCAAAAGGTTTCGGTGCGTTGGGCACTGGAGTGCTGAGCCCTGGTTTGAATAAAGACAAGAACCTTTGGATTAGAAACACCAGCCTGTCTCCATTTTTCTGGGTTTTTTTTTTTTGCTTTTTCTCGTGAGTTCGGGTTTTCCTGAGAGATCCGTCGGCAGAGTCGCCTTCCCTGGGGGGTCACGGGCCGTGCCCTCTGCCCGCCCCCCTGGGGGGGACACGGCTGTCCTTGGCTCCCACATGGATCACATCCCACCTGCTGAGGGGCTCTGACCTGGATCACATCCCTCCTGGCCTGTCCCTCTGTTGTCACTCACGTCTTGGTGGCAGTGGCATCCAGTGCTGCTCTTCACGCAGCCTCGAGGCTTCGGGGCACGGTGGCAAAATGGGCAACTTATGGATTGATCAGCTGATCTTCAGTGGCTGTAACTCTGACCTGGCTCTTCTGGAATGTCACCCTGGGGTTTGGCTCTGAGATGTGGGGTTGAGCCCTGTGGGAAGGGGACTGGCGGAGGTGGGATTGGCCCTTGGCTGAGGTGAGAGTTCATGTCAGACCCGAATCACACCCACAGAACCTCCTCCAGGGGCTGTGTCTGTGCTCATTAGTCCTCTCTGCTGTAATTAATCGCTGTTAATGAGGTGGCATTGCTCTGCACTCGTGCACTCTGGGATGTGGAGGTCGCTGGGTCGCTCTCAGAAGGGCTTGGATCAGTTCAGAGGCTGTTCTGGGGTTTGTGTGGATCGTGCCAGTTCCTCCCCGTGGATGCTCCGGGCTCGGATCCTCATGTCTCTGCTCCTCACTCCCTCACATCCAGAGCTCACGTGCTTGGAGCATCCCTGGAACAGGAGCTGCTCCAGTTGTGGTTTTGTGCAGGTGTCACTTCTGAGACCACCCGGACCCTCGGTGAGGTTTGGGCTGCAGGAAACACCGTGGAGAGGATACAACCCAAAAGCTCCAGGGACACATGGAATGGAGGGAACCTGATGTCTGCAAGCTCTTCTGGCATAAAGGGGTTTGGATTCGGGTCTCTTCTGCACAGAACTGGCTCTTCCAGGTTCCCGTGGGCCGTTAGATCTGCTGGAACCTCCCGGACCGGGGGACAAACCGGATCGACTGGGGCTGAGAGGAGCCTGTTGTGCTCTGCCACACCCGGCGTGTCCTCGGTTCAACCGGGAACAGGCGCCGGCTCCGGGAGCAGGGCAGCGGGAGGGGAAGGTCTGGGGGTGAGGGATGGAGGTCCATGGGTATGGGATGGAGGTCTGGGGGTGAGGGATGAAGTCTGGGGTTGAGGGATGGAGGTCCATAGGTGAAGAGGGAAAGTCTTTGGGTGAGTGATGAAGGTCTATGTGTGAGGGATGAAGGTCTGGGAGTGAAGGATGCAGGTCCATGGGTGAGGGATGGAGGTCCATGTGTGAGGGTGAAGGTCTGGGAGTGAAGGATGCAGGTCCATGGTTGAGGGATGAAGGTCTGGGAGTGAAGGATGCAGGTCCATGGTTGAGGGATGAAGGTCTGGGGGTACAGGATGCGGGTCCGTGGGTGAGGGATGGAGGTGGCTCCCGGCAGGTGACGGTGCTCACACCTGCCCAGGTGTGTCTGCGAGGCCCAGGCTGTGCCACCGAGGTGACCGATCTGTCCCCCTGATGTTCCACCTTGGCCAGCGGCAAGGAGCGGTTCCACCGGGCCCTGAGCCCCGCCGGGACCGAGGGGCGGCTTTCGGGGTCCCCCCGCGGCCGCGGCCCCTTTAAGGGCACTGAGGGCGGAAGCGCCGCGCGCGCGGCTTCTGCCCTTCCCCGGCTCTCGCGAGACCGGCGGGGCCCCGCCCTTTCCGCGGAGCCCGGACAAGATGGTGGGTGTGGGGGAGACCTGGAGGGGCCCATCCGCCGCCATCGGGGCCCGTCCGCGCCCGCCCGGGCCCCGTCCGGCTCGGGGCTGCCCTGGGGGCCGGGGATGGGCCCGGCGGGGGCGGGGGGTTGGCGGCCTGGGCGCCCCGGGGAGCTCGGAGGGGCCGCGGCCTTCCCGTGTGCGGGGCGGGGAACGCGGGCCCCGCCGGCCCTGACCCCCCTCCGGGACCCCCCGGCTCTGTCCCCCTTCCCTGACTCCCCTCCGGGACCCCCTGGCTGAGTCCCCCCTCTCTGACCCCCCTTCCTGACCCCGCTGTCCCGCTGCAGGCGGAGGTGGAGCAGAAGAAGAAAAGAACCTTCCGCAAATTCACCTACCGCGGGGTGGACCTGGATCAGCTCCTCGACATGTCCTAGTAAGTTTGGGGGCCCTGGGCTGTACCCCAGGCTCGGTTTGGGGTCCCTTGGGGGTCTCCCCAGGCTCGGTGTGGGGTCCCTGTGCTGTACGTCGTGCTCAGTGTGGGGTGCTTTGGGGGTGCCCCCGTGCCCCCTGACCCTGTGCCCCCCGTGCCCCCCGTGCCCAGCGAGCAGCTGATGCAGTTGTACAGCGCGCGGCAGCGGCGCCGCCTGAACCGGGGCCTGCGGCGCAAACAGCACTCGCTGCTCAAGCGGCTGCGCAAGGCCAAGAAGGAGGCACCGCCCATGGAGAAGCCCGAGGTGGTGAAGACCCACCTGAGGGACATGATCATCCTGCCGGAGATGGTGGGCAGCATGGTGGGCGTCTACAACGGCAAGACCTTCAACCAGGTGGAGATCAAGGTGAGCCGGGACGGGGGGACGGGTCCTGCCCCGAGCCGAGTGCCTGGAATGGGCACCTTGAACTGGGGTGGAATCCCTGTCGGAGGGGTCCAGGCTGCTCCTTGGAGCCCAGAGGGACCATCCCTGGGAGGGGCAGCTTCCAGAGGGGGCTCAGGGCCTCGGTGTGGTTCTGAAGCACCGAAATCCTGCAGCTCTTGTGTCTGTGTGTTGGGCCCTGGCTGTGCTCGGCCCCGGCTCCCTGCTTTGGGATGAAACAGATCTCCCCAGCCCCATTTCCAGAGGAAACAGATCCCTTGATCGTTCCCAGGAGTGGAATAACCCGCGGGGGGGTGTCACCTGATACCACCGGTGGGGTTAAATGGCACTTTCTGCTCCTGCCTGGCGTTCAGTCCCACCTGGAGGGGCACAGGGCTCCCGTGGGAGGGGCAGTGCTGGTGGGGGGATCCTGCTGAGCCCCTCTGGCTCCTCGTCCAGCCTCCGTTTCCCGCTGGGCAGGAGAAGCCTGGCTGGAATAACCTGCTGTGCCAGCACTGGGATGGGAAAGGGGATGGGCAGGGGGGTGTCCCTGCGCTCCCCCCAGCACGGATCTCTCCCCCTGCAGCCCGAGATGATCGGCCACTACCTGGGCGAGTTCTCCATCACGTACAAGCCGGTGAAGCACGGCCGGCCCGGCATCGGGGCCACCCACTCCTCCCGCTTCATCCCGCTCAAGTGAATAAAGATATTCCTCCTGGACCCCTCTGTCTCCTGCCTCGCCGTTCCCAGGGCAAGGGGGAGGCTGGGCTGGGCGGAACTCGCCACGCTCCGCCGAGATCTGGTGCTTTCCTGAAGGTTCTTCCCGGGTTTTTGGCACTGCTTTCCATCAGCACTCGCCTTCTCCTGGGTTTAGGGAATGAATGAAACTCCCTGCTCTTTGCTGGGAAGTGGGGAATGGCACTTCCATATTTATGGCATTTCCTTCTGTTTAGCTTTATTTATAGTTTGTAGAAGGCTGGAGTCGCCCTGGGAATGTGGAAACACCGAGTTGAGGGGCAGTGGGGTGGGTTCCCCGGGCCTTGGCACCAGCCCTGCTCCTCGGGAAGCTGCCAGGGACCCATCATGGGATGCCAGGACCCCTAATGATGATTTTCTCATCTCGAATTTGGGATTCCAGAGGACTTTTGGTGTCTAGGATCGGAGTGGTGGGAGCTGGGGAGTGAACTGGGGGTTTGCAGCTCAGGCTCGGAGAGAGGGATGTGTTTTGGGGGAGAAGCTGCTTTCTGGGATGAGGGGGATGGTCCAAGGGAGATGATCCAGTCGGGCCCAGGAGCTGCTGCAGAGCTTGGGCTGAGCCCAAGGAACCCAAGAGAGCCAAGTGCCGCAGTGAAGCCACCAGGGAAGGAGCTGTTTGTCCCCAGGGTGGCCCTGGCTCGTCCCTGCCACTGGCCAAGGTCCTGTGGGGGCCCTTTGGGTCTCCAGCCGTTTGTCCTTCAGGGAAGGTCCCCTGTCACTGGGTCCCTTTTGTGTGACCTTGAGGGTCCTTGTGCCAACCCCACTGGTGGGGGGGGGCAGGGTTGGGGTCACTCTGCCCGGGCAGGGCCGTGGGGGGACCCCCAGCCCTGGGGGGCTCCCGGGAGGGTGACGCCGGGGGGGCCAGGATGCCCCAGGCAGGAGGGGGGTGACAGGGGCCTTGGTGGGTGACAAGTGGCCACAGCACAGGGCAGAGGCCACGGTCATGGCCATGGGGGGGGATCGGCGGCAGGGGGGCCGGCGGGGGGGTCCCGCTTGTCCGGGGGGATGTCGGGCCGGTCCCCAAGGACACGGGGGCTGCACCGGCCCGACCGGAGGGGGCAGGTTCGGTTTTGGGGGGGTGGGTTTGGTCGGGGGGGGAAGGTTCGGTCTGGGGGGGGCAGGTTTGGTCGGGAGCGGCAGGTGCATCCCCGGGACAGGGGGACGGGGCAGATCCCGGCGTTTTTGGGGAGGCTGGAAAAGGGGCGGATGGACGGGAATGGAGCCCCCCGCGGGGGTCCCGTCTCCCCCTGCCCGGCAGAGCCCGGGGGGGGCGCGGGGAGCCCCCGGTGC